TCTTACTGCCATTCCGCATGACGTCATACCCCCACCACCGAAGAATCCCCGCGCTACGCTTCCCCTCGCCTACGAGTATCCCCCGCACCCCGCGCTCCCCTCAGAGGACCTGAGTTAGAACCCGCTTACTATACCTACTTATGTATCAATTTACTGTTATTTATATGTTTATCACTTTACATGTTTTTACGTTCTTTCTACAACATTCCCCTTTTCTCTCCTTTGATTCACGTGTACGATCGTACTATATGTTCTGTTATAATATTTTCCTCGAAGCCTTATTAAATTTATTTGCTCTTAGAGAAATATATATATTTCCGTGTAAAATATATTACTATATAATACCATTTTTTACTATAGCCAAAATTGAATCCATTGCTGTGTTATATTATAGAACACGCAAAGATATTTTAAGATAACGTTAACGGCAAAGTTTTTTTCCTCTTTCCCTACACTCTCCTTGGCATATCCTTCCATGTCCTTTCGAGAATTCGGGTCGTTCACACAGTACAAAAGAGTGTGAGTACCACACCGTTATAATGGTCGTCTTTCTTTTCTCTCTTTTTGCGATGACAGGGATGCTGTAGCTACCTTTACGAAAAAAAACTACTAGTGTCACTACTAGTGTAACTACTAGTAAAAATAGTACAATAGTAAATTCGCTAGTAGTGTAATAATATAATGGGGTGGTGGACAAAATTTCGTTGAAATTTCACTGCAGTTTCATTTTAAAAATAAGTATTATTGATCATCATCATATTTTTTAGAGGATACACGACAAAATTATAATAAAAAAAAGTTTTCTTTATGAATTTGACAACTAATTTTATGCTCCCATGCAGTCACCCATCCGAATATGTACCTCTACTTAGCATGCTTGACTTCTGCAATCGTACGGGAATTGCACCTTTGAAGAATCACGAACACCTATAATAATGAACATACAGTTGTAACATATCTGGTCAAAGATGTTGCGAAACAGACGGAACATGTATAGAAAAAATAATTAATGTTAAATAATAATTGTAATGTACAAATGAAGATATACCTACAATAATAACTTATTTTTAATAATACTGTAAAATATTATTTCTACAAGCTGAAATAATACTAATTGCTCTAACGATATATTATTTTTACTCTAATAAATTTTTCATACAAATATTATTATATAATTACTGAAAATAGTTGTATATTACGTCATATGTCGTCATACACCACCGCAGTAGTAACACTACTGGTTTAACAGTGACATTATTGCGTATTAGTAGTGATACTGTTGTCAATAGTGACATTATTAAATGTCAGTAGTATCACTACTGTGTACTACCATGCACTAGCAGTTCTTTTGCTCTAGTGATTATTCCAGTAGTTCTTACTATTACATTCTAAATGTTCACACTGGTAAGTAGTTTATAATTGTGTAGTGGAAACTACTTATTATTAGTGTTACAGTACTATATTCAATGCAGTAGTATTGATGTTTATAACTATTATCGTTGAATAGTAACTATTAGCATTCTAATAGTTTTTTTCCATACGGGTCCTTTCTAATCTTGCAGCTCGTTTCATTTTCCTAGCGATTTGTCCCGCGGCGTCAGGAATATTAAATCCATGAAGGCAATTTGCATCGATATTACTTATGTCGGATATAGTGTCTGTTGGTTGAGTGGAAATCTCGGTGCGAATGCGAAGAAACAAAGAAATAAAGAGAGAGGGAGAGAGAGAGAGAGAAAGAGAGATAGAGAGGAACAAAAAAAGAGAAAATGCGCAGAAGAATAGTCCATTGATAAAACAGGCATACAAAATAAGAGCGAGTATTCGCGATGACTTAAATTTGAGTAGCATTTGCCTTTCTTCATCTTTTCTTTCTCTTTAATTCCAAATTATAACGCTATATTTCGCTCGTTAGTGACTTGAGATGATATAGTACGATTGTAATACTTTGTTGAAGGATAGATATCAATTTCTCTTGTACCCGTGTGTATAAAAGAAGCGGATACTTAGGATTTATTAAGTATTCGTTCCGTGTCACGTAGACGGCATTGTAAAATAAAAAGATCGACCCGCGCGCTGTATCGGAAACAAAAATTTTCACGTGCGAAACCGCTCCTGAAGTTTGTTAGAGCTTCAATCCCAAGTTTGTCGTAACTTCGGACCACTTGACATTATCTGTTTAAGGGTGTTGTAATTCACCAACACAGGCGTATAAATAAGCAGCGATAATTAGCTACCCTCCGCAATAGTGCTTAAGAAACTTTGAAATATGCACTTACTCATTATTCCCTCGGCGAATGGGCGCCAACTTTTGCAGAGAGTGTATAGAGTACTCCACACGTCAGAATTTTTCGTGTGTGGAATTCTACACACGAATAATTTTTTTAAATAACTAATGTTGAACAAATATCTTTTTGTAACTATACTGTAGTAGTGTGTATAGTATCAGACTGCTCCTCGCTCTGATGAAGTGGACTGCAAGGTTTACGAAACGTTGGCATTCCAAGAATGGATCTGGACACGGAGAAAACCCGCCAAACGTATAATCTTTATATAGAAAGCACCCGTGGAAGAATATTATCTTTTTGTAATTTTTATTTAAAAATTTCAATTACTGAGCGAACCGAGTGCGACCGTTGAACTATTCATACGATTCTCCTTTCTCCTTTTTTTAACGTAGTTTGTATTTTTCTCCGCAAATATAGAAAATCGCTAAATAGTCTATGATTTTTCGTAGAGTCGATTGAGGCGTTCGAGGAGCGCGCTATCAGTGCTATCGCTTCACTATATATTTATTTTTTATTAAACATTAAAATAAGGATAGAACTACAAGCCGTCTAATCAGAGTTAACGCGTAGATTCGTCTGTGATTGATCCGACATTTTTCTTCACGTATTTTATTATATTATCTAACCTTTTAACGAATTGTTGCAGAAAAGTGCTGCGCATCCAATAATTTATTATGCGTACATTCGAGGATTTCGAAGATTGTCTCTCGGATAAAGGAAAAGATGTAATAAAGTAGGAATTTCTTTGTGCCTAGTGAGCATTATTCTTTATAGAATTTGCAATGGGCAAACTAGTTTATTATTAGAAAGATATCATTGTGTTCAGCTGATAGTAGTCGGTTTATTAGAGGGGAATTGGGAATTTACTTTCGCTTCGAGCGCAAAAAAAGGTCATGAATGTGAGGCTAGAAAATACTAAGATATGTTAATTTTTCATATGACAACGCTGATCCAACTTCACACACGGCTAATTGGCAAGTTGGCGCCCCTGCCTCAGCGGCACGACCAGTCGAAATATTATTAAAGGAGCTTCACTGTTGCCCGTAATGAATAGAGTAACGATAAGATTTCTACTCCAATATTTCTCCATTAATCTCTTTCGCACCGGTGAGTGAGGTCTTAAAATAGAGGATGACGTTAAATTATTACTCATTGTCGATTGGACAGGGAAGTTATCTCGGTAATTTCATTAAATATATAATTATATATGGAATAGAAATATTTGAAAATGGGAGTCTCTTAAATGCAATGTCACTTATTGAATAAGATCTTACGGCAAAATGACCTAGTTCTTCCTCATTAATCATATGAGATTAAATCGGTAAAAATAAATGTTTCAGATTCGACAAACAGTGCCACGGGCCCGATTTTCGTAGCACCAGTTGGAAATCAGACCGCCGCGATTGGCCGCGAGGTCGTCTTCTCTTGCAGCGTACGCAACATAAGCATTCGCAAATACAAGGTAATAATGCCGTGAATGAGGTATACGGATTAAATTCGCACGCATTTAATGGCACGCATTCGTACTTATCCTGCAATGGGATTTCAAACGCGCCGATCAGTCGCGTTTAGAATACCGAAGAGCAGCTTTTATGATCGTTTGACTCTTTTGTAGCTTCTTGCATGGCACTACAAATTCTAGTCTCGTAGTTTACAGACCCCATCAACGCGACGCGAGAACTTGAATTTAAGATAAAGCTAAACGAATCGGTTTTTGACGTAACAGTTTGGATTTGTCACGACGAGAGTGGGGGAATGTGCGTAAACGGAGCAAGCAACGATAGAATGCAACGTAACAAATGTCGAGCGACCTGATATCGTAAACGTAAGGTCACGTAGCATTTGCCGAGGATGTGCTACGCGACGAAATTGAATTGTCGCGAGTGAAAAATTTGTCATAAAAGTAACTTCCCTTTTTGTTAGCTTAACTTTGTTAACTTAACACTAATGTTAGCTTAATCTTTATATCATGTCGCTCTTTGCCTTCAGAAGTAATATAAAATAAAGCCAACACGCACAGGAGTAAAACAAATCGTGGTTAGATCGAATCAAATTGACTTCGCTGGCGGAAGACATCTCGAAGCTTATTACAAGAAAGACAATGTAATAAAAGAATCATTTTTTTCCTGCTTAGTGAGGCTACAGAATCGCTCTTTCTTCCATCATAATTCGCTAATTTGCCGAGGTCATTCGCTCTTCGATAAACATCAGACTATACATTTAGTATTAAATTTCAACACAGCAGAATATACATCTTTAAAAAAAAAACAACATAATAATAGAAAACACACAATTAATGATTAATAAAAGATACATCACAATTGGAAATTTTCAATTAAATTTAACACGTTTTACATGTACCAAATGATCTATTCAAATTTTTGTGTTAATACAACACAAGATGCATGGATATATGGATTTTATTTAGGGAAAGGAGAGGCAAATTAGAGTTTACTCTACTGAAAAAAATTATATCACAAGGTTACATGATGAAATCATGTAATTAAAATATGTAAATCATGTAATGGATTGTCCCAAATCAGTAGGTTATTTTTTCAAATGATGTAATTTGAAAAATCACATGATTTAGAAATAATTTTATCTATTAAGTGATTTTATTGGTATCAAATTTTAAAGAATTCAATGATAGAATTAGAAAAAAAAACATATTATGACTTTTCAAAATACGTATATAATTATAAAAAAATCACATACTGATTTGGAACAATCCGTTAAATGATTTATATGTTTTAATTACATGATTTCATCATGCAACTGTGTGACATAATTTTTTTTAGTAGGGGAGATTTTTAAACCCCTTATGGTGCGTTCGGGCAGATGCTATTAGCGCTACATCTGTCATTTTGTCTTGTTTATTAGTCGACACAAGGAAGAAATGACACAAATACACGCTAATAGCGTCTTCCTGAACGCATCTTTAGTCGTAAGGTATGGACTATTTAAAATGCAGTTTTGATATAGCAATTGATTGCAAAAGAATAAATGTATGTTCTTTTAAAGTGTACTATTCTTTCTTTTTTACTTTAAATTTTGTGATTCTTCTGCAAACAACTAAAAAATGACAATTTATGAATTATGTATTATACCAAATGAGTGACATGTTAAATTAACATATTTTAATAAAATTAACACATATAATAAATAAATGAGTTAAATTTAAACATTTTATTCATTTATTTCAGAATTTACGTTTTAAAATAAATTATTTTTATACTAATTGTTTAACGTATTTATAAATTGTGATGTTTTAACAATAAGAAATGTCGAATATTAATGTAACAAGGAATAACGCAATCGGATTATATTAAAATAATACTCGAGTATGTTAACAATTTAACAGAAAAATTTTAATAACGACCGGTTTTAACACAAAATATTTTTCACTGTGTACGGTTAATGGAGCGAATGTCATCAGATGATTTCTATCCGTAAAGCAGTGATGCACATTTGGCTCCCCGGCAACACGGAATCCAGTCCCACCACATTTATCCCCACCTACCGGCATCGAGTCGGCCGCGAGAGCGAGCGAAGTAGCGAGAGGCAGCGCCCGTCCTTTTCGCTCTACTAGTAAATCGTAAACACATGCGGGTATTAGAGCGAAAAGGACGGCTGCTCTATCTCGCTGTCTCTGCTGG